CAAGAAAGGACAGAGATAGCATACACACAAGCTAAGGAGAATAAGAAGAGGTCGGAATCCGCATGCAATGCTAGGGGAAGGGAACAGTACAGGCGACTCACAGAGAGTAAAGTAGCGATCAAAGTGCGAGATTGCGATTGCAGCTTCACCTCGTCCGTCCCACCCTAACTTGCTGCTGTCTCCAACTCCTACCCCAAGAACAGAGTCAAGTCCCGTATCAAAAAAAAGAGCAAGTGCAAGTGGTGGCAGTTCTTGCGTTGCCCAGGGTTGCTCGGTTCACCCCGAACCTCCAATGTCCCAGGACTTTCGCGTTTGTTGCTGATTATTTCGGGTTAAGCACGGGCCCGTGGTATCATCGGGTGTCTGGTTGAGAATAGCAACGGCTATACGTGCTGATTGGTGCTGCTAATCGTACAGCAACAGATAAGCTAGCGCTGTTCAGGCTGGTCTGTGTAGGCTGGCCTGCGTTTCTGCCTGAGTAGGAGCTTAGTCCGGAGCCAGTGGAGCCGTTTCGAGAGGGGGCGACTTTTTGTTGACCAGGAGGTCTTGAAATGAGAGTGAGCTGTGATTTCCATCGCACCTCCCCATACCCAATCTCCACCTGTCAACCCAATCCTGTCAAACAGCTCACAAGTCAAGATGGCAACCAAGCAGGCTAGAGGATCACACAAAATGTGGCACAGGCGGCGCTAAGTGGAACCTGAGGACAGAGGATGTGACGATGGAGATCACTGACATGAGTTGCACGGCATTTCTGGTGGAATATTGTTTTGCGGACCTCGTTGCCTCTTCGCGAGGTGTCAGCGCGTGCGATTGGGGGACGCCATGCACGCGCTTTACAAATCCCTTTTCACCGAGAATTGAATGCCACTGGGCCTCGATGATGAAAACTACGCTGCGCGCGGTGGCCTTACGGAAGCCGTCGAAACCACCAAAAAAATTGCCACGAGGCATGGTCGGCAGACCTGAGCGGAAAGCCAGCAGGGCGGTCGGATTTTTGAAACTTGCACGCGAGCCAGCAAATTGCCAATCCTTGACTCATGGAACAGCATCGCAACCGTAGCTCTGGTTAGCCGTCCACCTCGTCCGCCCGCGCCAAAGCTAGGCGGCTCAACCAAGCAGGGCCCCACCCTTAGTCGACTTGGCATATGTGGCCTGGTAAAAGATTACGAGGCCGACACAACACTTGGATATGATGTCCGAGACGCAATAGCCAATCTGGATGGCTGCCACAGCACTGGAAGCGGTGATTCCAAACATCGGGAAAAAGGTACCCAACGGGGTAGGTGCACCAACTTATCACCGCCATTACGTGCGCAAGTGGGATCTTACTTTTGATCGGAGGGGCGATTTCGCTGTCTGCGGCCGCTTTCAACCCGACCAGCAACTTGCATACGATGCACAGGAAGAAGCACATGGACAAACCCAAACATTTCAGCGCGAGGTCAGGTCGCCGCTCACGGTCAGCTCGCCATGGCAGCGAGGCTGTTTTCGGAACAGTTCCCTGCTAGCTGCGAGCGTTTGCGAGCCTCCTCGGGGCAGCTGCCGTGCGCGCCGCCCCCGCTGGGCGCCTCCCAACAGGCGCAGGCGGCCGCGCGCCGCGAGGCGCTCCTGGCCGGCGCTGCGGCCGACCGAGACCGAGGCTTCGTGCTGCCAGCGCGTAAGGGCTCGCCTATGCGGCCCGAGTCGGCCGCCGGCCTCGCGTTCGAAGGAGACAACACGCCATAAACATGAACTTTTGGGCGCTCCGCGCGGATTTCTTGGATCCGCGCCGGGCCCCCCGGCGGCGCCTCCGGCGCCGCCCCTGGCGCGCTCCGCGCGCCAGGGAGGGTGTTCGGCGCAGATTCAAGAGATCCTCGCGGAGCGACACAAGTTTATGTTTATAGCGCTTTCTCTTCTTCTAGAGACGGCCGCCGGCCTCGCACGGCCGACGTGGCCGCCATCGTTTGTTTTGACTCAGGTCGTTTCGACCGCAGGCCCAGCCCTCTGGCAAGTCCTGGTGCCCTCGGTCCCAGCAGGTCCTGGTCCACTCCCCCGTCCAGGACCCGAGCCTGACCGCGATGGTGCTCACTACCCTCCTGCGTGTATTGATGTTCTTTGTCCCGCGGGGTCACCGGGCGATGCGCCATCGGCTGCCCCTCCTGCCGGCTCCAGTGCGGGCGCCGGCTCGAGGCCGATGGCGCCTGTCCAGCCGCCAGGCGCCGTTGCGCTCCTCAGCCGGATGTTGTGGGCCCTGCAGGCGTGTCACCACACCAGCTCCCACTTGGACGCCACATGGCTGTCCTTGTCTCCCCCTTTGCCGACGGCTGGGGCTGCTGGTCCATACGGCGGTGCGCCGCCAGCGCGGCCCTCGCTCGTCCCACCGCTGGCGCCGCCGGCCGCGGCCCAGGCTCTGGCACCCGCCCAAGCCGCCCCGGCCCTCGTGCGGGCGAGCTCCGGCGGGCGCAGGTGGTGGAAGCGTGAAGCTCTGGCTCGGGCTGCCGCCTCGGAGCGTGCGGTCGCCGCCGCAGGCCTGTTCGGAGCGTGCTGCCGCCGCTGCGGATCGGGAGGCGCTGCACCTGCAGGATGCCGCCACCGATGCCCTGCCCGAGGAGCTCCAAGGGGGCGAAGCGGCCTCTGCTCCCGCAGCCGTTGCCAGAGTGCCACGAATGGATTTTTGCTCGTGCCTCTCGACCTCATGCCGTCGCCGCGTCTGGAAGCCATCGGCACGAGGCGGTGGGCAAGCCTTTAAGCCTTTTCCCCCCCCCCCTCCCCCGCGTCCCCTGTCGGAGTCCGGGGGAGGCGGCGAGGCAGCCCACGGGCCTCACCCCACGCCAGCTGCAGGAGCCCGACTCTGTGCAGCCATTGGAGCATGATGCTGACCGTCGAGCTGGTGTTCGTCTCCCCGCTCACGCTGCGGCAGCCCGGGTCCTGCAGATGCGGTTCTTGCCGTCCTTCCTCGCGATAGCGAACAGTTCCAGCGCCCGTCCGCGAGCGCTGACTATTCTGGATGCGTGCGTCGCACGCAGTTCTACAGTTGCCTGCCCACGTCCCTCGAGCAGAAGGAGGTCGAGGTGGAGGTCACCGCATATCGGAGTCCCTGGGCGTTCAGACGTGGTGGACCGCAATGGAAGTGGACTCGTGTTCGCCGACCCCATTCTTCGGCGGCCGTGTGAAGGCGTGAGTTGGCGTCTCTTCTCGATTTTGCTGGCGTCGAAGCTATTTTTCACATGTGCGTGCGCTCGTGGGTCCGGGCAATGCGTGTGCCTTCTCCTCCACCTTAGCAGGCATTCTGTTACGACGATATGCTTGTATGCGCGCTTGATCGAGCTTGGCCAGTAGTTGACCAGGAGGAGATTGAGGTTTCGGGGATGGAGAATGGGAAGGCGGTAGAGGAACATGGACACACGTCTGTGTCCCAGACGTGTGTTTCCCCCTCCAACACGCCCGCCCTCGCTTATAGCATCCCTCTCTCCTCCATGCTTGTGCTCTGCGAGTGTGAGTCCAGAGAGGCCATGACGTTCGCCGCTCGAGCCGCGAGTTGTTAGCCGGCTGCTCAACGCCAGGTCGCCTCGTCACGCGTTCCTCCCTCGGAACAGCGCGCAGGCATTCGCGTCGGTGCCCCACCGCCGTCTCGTCGTGCGTCCCGGGCGGGGGGTCAGACTTGCAAAGAACAGAAACGCACCAGAGGTGTTCGATATGTGTCCCAGCCTCTGCCTCAGTCTCGCTCCTGCCCTCCTCCCGAGCTGGAGGTCTTGGATCTGTGTCCCAGTCGACCTTTCTCCTTCTCGGTATTTCGTCCGCCTCCCCTCCCTCCGCGTATTCCCGCGAGCGCCTGTGCCTGGCGGCCTGTGCCGGACAGGCCGGTGGATTGGGATAGGGTCGGTGGACATCATCCAAGAGGAAAAGAAACACACAGACACAATTAATCCTCGATTCCCCAGAAAATACGGGAAAATATGGGAAGTGGGGGGGAAGACAAAAACCCAGAAAATATGGGAAAATATGGGGAATATTTTTATTTGTGTGTACGTATTTGTGTGTCCCAGTTTCCCTTCAATCATAGGAGAGTGGGATGTGGAGGATGCGGGGTGGATTTGCTCCTTCTCTTGCTTCGGTGCTTCTGGGCAACACGTGCCTTCGGCTTCGTCGCCGAGGCTCCCCTGTACTGCTCTGGAGTCTCTGTCTTGGCGCCCATACCGAATGTCCACGCCAGTGTTGTTTTCCTCGGTCAGCGCCTGCGGTGCACTGTTTGGGTCCAGCTCCGGCTTCATTTGTCGAGTTGAGTGCTGTTTTATCTTGACCAGCCAGTGGTTGAATCAGATGCGCGATCCAAGACATCCTCCTCCCTTCCTCCTCTTCCTTCTCCTCCTCCTCCTCCTCCTCCTCCTCCTCCTCCTCCTCCTCCTCCTCCTCCTCCTCCTCCTCTTCCCTTGTCTACTTCTCTCCCCTCTTCCTCCTCGACCTCCTCTTCTCCTCTACCTCCTCTTCTCCTCCTCCCTTCCTCCTCCACCTTCTCCTCCCCCTCCTCCTCCTACTCCTCTTTCTCCTCCTCCTCCTCCTCCTCCTCCTCCTCCTCCTCCTCCTCCTCTCGGGCGGGGCTAGAGCGATGATCAGTCAAATCCCTTCCAGAGGATTCCGGAACGCTCTCAGAGCGTTCTGGAACGCTCTGAGGAGGCCTCGGCGCCCGAGATATCCTCCAGATCTTCGTCCTGGCGCCTTTCTATCCTCCCTTACACCTCCTCCACCTCCTCCCCTTTTCTCCTACTCACCTTTCTCCTCCTCCTCCTTCCTCCTCCTCCTCCTCCTCCTCCTCCTCCTCCTCCTCCTCCTCCTCCTCCTCCTCCTCCTCCTCCCCTTCTACTCCTCCTCCTCCTCCTCCTCCTCCTCCTCCTTCTTTCTCCTCCTCCTCCTCCTCCTCCTCCTTCTTTCGCATCCTTCGCCTCCTCCTCCTCCTCCTCCTCCTCCTCCTCCTCCTCCTCTTCCTCCTCCTCTCTCCTGCCCGCGGGCGCCCGCCCAAGGTCCAGGGGCAAGTACGCCGAGGCCCTCCCGCTGGTGGACGAGGCCCTGCGGCTCGAGCCGAGGCGGGGGGGCGGCGGGGGGCATCGGGCAGTACCACAAGTGAGGGAGGAGAGAGGACCTGAGAGGGAGGAGGAGCAGGAGGAGGAGGAGGAGGAAGTTGAGGAGGAGGAGGAGGAGGAGGAGGAGGAGCAGGAGGGAGAGGAGCAGGAGGAGGAGGAGGAGGACAAGCTAGGTGCGCTCGCGTCATGTCTGACGTCCTACCCCTCCCTCCCATCACTTACAATGGCGTAGATATTCTCTCTGTTCGTACAGTCGGATGTCGAGCAGGGCAATGATCGCGAGGGGGTACGCGATGCATGGTAGAGCACGGCATGGCATGGCATAGAAGAGCACGGCAGAGCGTATCATTCATGCCATAGCATGGCGTGGCATTGCGCAGAAAGGCATTGCATCGCAAAGCATTGCAACGCAAAGCATTGCATCGCACGGTGGCGCAGAACACAACACCGCACAGCATGTCATGGTATGGCGTCGGGTTCCTTGGTGGGTAAGTCAATCGTCGTCGAGAGGTCTGGGCCCGTCTGGAGTCGTGGCTCCATCTCTAGCTCCGCATGCTGCCCGAAAAGTTCCACACAAGGCGGGGCTGATGGAGAGTACCCGATGGTTCTGCTTTCAGCATCGCTGTCTTAAGGCAGAAACGGGGCTCTCGCTTGGTACTTCCTGAAAACGACGACGACCCAAAGTGGAAGGCGGTGGTGCTTCTGCGGCCCCCCCAAAAAACAACGAATCGACACCGAATGTGTAATCACTGTTGATGGTTTTTTCGAGGGAGCCTTTTCTAGATGTTGGGTACGATCTAGACGGACCGAAAACGCCTGCGCTGCAACGGGAGCACAATTTGGAACACCCAGAGGCGCAGAGATGGGGCCAGCGCTGCAGCAGGAGCAACGTTTTGGAACACAAGCCCAAGCGAAAACCTATGTCCTGGGATTCCTGTGTTTTAAAGAAACGGTGCGCGGAGGGGGGCCGAACATCTTCCGGACGAAATAAGGGGAGAATGAGAGTATTATTTATATTGTGCAATTGTGGCGGAGGAGAAAGAGGAGGACGTCTTTTGAGAGGTTCCACAATTCGAGCGCCCCGAGCCGATGCATTTTTGGTTGTGGCGGCCGCGGCGATTTCAAGCATTATTTTTCGCGGTGCGCGAGATTTAAGCCCCTCTGGTCCTGTATCGTCGGGTATGGTCATCCTGAGTGTCCCATCGCTCTCTTTGGCGTCTGTGCATCTCCCCCTCGTGCGAACGTCCTGGACCTTCCTGCTTCTGCGTATCTTCTGCACGCTCTCGCTCGTGCCCGCTACTGGCAATCTCTCGGCAAGCCAGGTGGCAGCGCTAGTTCCGCAGGCACATGGCTCTCTTCTGCGCGGGCGGTCGCGGAGCTGAGGACACGTGGCGCTCGGCTACGTGCGAGGAGGAGAAGGAGAAGGATGAGGACTAGTGCAAACCCAAGACTCATCAACGATGCTGCAATTTACCTTCTGCCAGAGCTCCCTCTTCATAGGTTCCTATAGGGGTTTACCTTCAGTGCGGGAAAAGCACCGTTAGAAGACAACCGTCTGACAATCCCCAACCCTGTCAGAGCACCATTCCTGGGAGTCCGACGCTTCGAATCCACGCTACTGCTGCGACCAGCACCGTTTCGGGGACACCAACACCGCGAACCAGCGTGAGTGTCGCGCCCAGACGATGCCAAATCGTGCCAGAACACCGTCTTGGGGGCGTTGACCAAAAGAGCCCCTGGAACTTGTGTAAACTGCGAAGGGAATTATAGGGAAATTGTAAGGAAATTAGAGGGAAGCTCAAACAGGGAATTCTCGGTAACTGAAAACCCGATCCCCCCTCTTGTAACACAACGGGCGCGCTCAAACCATACCCTTGGAACTGGTGCAGACTGCTAAGACGACTGCCCGCGGCGCTAAAGGCGAGGGCCACAGTTCGAGAAAAAGGAGCCGGCCCCCATCCGCGAAGCAGCCGCAAATTTGTATGACGAACGCGAGCGGCGCTACGCCTCAGAAAGGCATCAAAGCTTTGATCCTCCAGCGTGTCGTTACCTTTCTGCGCCGCCCAGATTTGGGAGCCACCGACTCAAGCTTTGATTCTCCAACTTGGCGTTGCCTTTCTGCGTCGCCCAGATTTGGAAGCCACCGACCACACTGGGTGTGGTTCTGCCCGGGTGTGGTTTGCGATTTGACTAAAGCTTCGATTATCCAACTTGGCATTACCTTTCTGCGCCGCCCAGATTTGGGAGACTACAATGGGCGTGGTTGTGCCCGGGTGTGGTGTGCGATTTGGCGCCGTTGGGGTTTGAAAGGGCACCGCGTTGCGCCATAGGCCTGACGAGCCCTCGTCGGGGTCGGATGGGTAACGCTGTGCAAACCACCTGCGGCTCCCCGCGTGCTGCCCTCCTCCTGGCCAGAAAGCGAGGGCGAGGCTCCAGAGGTGATCGGGTTTGCGCCTCTTCCTGTCCCTCCTCCGTCACTGTGGGACGTGCAGTTGCCCACTGGAGAGTCCCAGTGTGATGAATGTCGAGCCAGCGAGAGGCTTGTCGACAGGCGATCTTGACAGGATCCTACGCTCTTGGTCTGTTCTGTCCCTCCTACTCCTCCTCCTTTTCCTTCTCTTGCTCCTCGGGAGTGCGAGGTCTTCCTCCTTCAGTATGCACATCATAAAAGGAGTTCGGCCTATCAGCAGGTGCCCCACGGAAATTTCTAATCCCCCGAGGGCCCCAGGGACCCACAGAAGTTGTGAGGCACCTTGGGACTCGCAAAAGTCGCCAACCAACGTGCCCCAAGGTTTCTGATGACAAGATTTGTCAACGTGTGTGCCTGCTGTATTCGTCGCTCTTTCGTTCCTCTTTCTCCTTCGCCCCCTCCTCGCCTGCACGACTACGACTACGACACTACTACTAACAACAACAACAACAACTACTACTACTACTAGTACTACTACTACTACTACTACTACTACTACTACTACTACTACTACTACCACTACCACTACCACTACCACTACCACTACCACTACTACTACTACTACTACTACTACTACTACTACTACTACTACGACTACTACTATTACTACTATTTCTACGACTACTTCTACTACTCCTAGTCCTACTACTACTACTACTACTACCACTACTACTACTACTACTACTACTACTACTACGACTACTACGACTACTACTACGACTACTACTACTACTACTACTACTACTACTACTACTACTACCACTACCACTGCTACTACTACTACTACTACTACTTCTACTACTACTGCTATTCTGCTACTACTGCTACTACTACGACGACGTCCACCACTACTACTACTACTACTACTACTACTACTACTACGACGACTACTACTTCTACCATTATTAACACTTCAAATGCGATTACTACTACTACTTCTTCTTCTACTATTTCTATTACTCTTATTATCTCTACTACCACTGTTGCTACTATTACTACTTCCACGAGTACCACTA